TCAGTCAGACGATAGGTAACACAGTCTTGCCCAGGACGAGCAACACCCAACGCGGCATGTGGGAGAACATCCGCCCCAGGGATCTCCACAAAGACATGACGACCAGGGAGGACACTCTGCAGGAGGGTGCTCAGCACTGTGATGTCGAGGGCGCACAAACGCGGGACCTCAAAAGAGATCACCCCTTCAACGGAATGAAGAAGTGACACAACCCGCATCTCCTGAAGCCACCGAGAGGCGGAGGCGACATGAGGTGGCAGAATGAACGCCGAGACATCCAGGGTACGTTGCTCGGAATTTACAATCACCCGAATGACATCACCGTGTCGAAGCCTGTGTGCCGGGCCTTTCAAGATTTGAATGTCACTGGCTGAGGCGGCTTCCTGTGCAGCAGTCATCACCTGGCTGGGACTATAATCGAACGGAAGCTCGCTGCAAACAATCTCCCTGCCTAAATCAAACAGGACAGTAAGTGCTCCCGGGTGAGAGGGCAGAGACACAAGGTGAACAGCTTCAAGCGTAGGCCCAACCGACGCAGCGACAATCTGAGAGCGTCCAAGTCGAATGGCTTGGCGGTACAGCTCCGCAGAAACGTCACGGGCCCGATCGGAGCTTGAGAACTCAATGCGCACGACGGAGCCTGGCAGCCAAAGGCGGCAAGTTATAAGGAACACAATGTCCGGTGAGGGCAGTGACAACCAGAGAGGTCCATCGCCAAAGTCACCAGTCAGTAGCCACTTGGACTGAAGATGGGCGTGGGCGCCAGCAGGGGCAGCGATCTGACGATCAGGAGCTCTGGCAGCGGAAATGACAGCGTCACGTGGCGAGGCAGGTTCGCTGTGAATTTGAACCGCTGTAACAGGCGACATGTACAGCAGTAAGATAGCAACGCTCCACGTGCCCAGTCCAAGTTGTCCTCTGGCATGCCAACCTAAGGCCCAAAAAGCAATAGAAGCAACCCAAGGCCTCCGCAGCAGGTTGACAGCATCGGACGCATCCGAAGCAGGCTCCTCAGCTGGCTCAGCAGCGCTAGGGTACGAGGAATTAAGGAACTCAGAGGGTGTAACTCCGGTGCAGGCAGGCATGCTAGTGGACGCAGAGGCTCTGGCAGGTGAGGGCAACAGGGTGTGCTGTAAGGCGGAAATGGTGTCCGACGTACCCGGAGTATCCCACCCTCCAACCTGGTCCTCCGAGGAAGACGAGGAGTCCTGGCGAAAAACATGCGGAAAGAACATGATCACCAGCGGAAAACTCCCTGAAATAACCTGGTCAGGAAGCACAGCTAATTCCCTGTGAAGAGGACCGAAGCCACCCCTGGCACACTGATCAACCCATTCAAGGGGGAGGCTGTTGCGATCCCGACGTGAAGCTGCAGTGACCGCTGCGAGAGCAGTGACAGGGGGCGAGATGCAGACCGTGGTCAGTCTCCAGCCCACAGGACGGAAATCCAGAATGCACGGCACTTCCTCCTCAGCACAGTGGACCTCAAGAAATTGGACGAGAGGGAGCGAGGGAAGCGGATGCCAGATACGCAAAACGCCCCCAGTAGCGGCAGGGGAAGCCCTCGTAGACACGATGCGTCTGAAGGTCGCAGCATCAGCAAAAACCGGGGCTTCAACGTAGACCAACCCGTTGGGAGTGATAAGGACAGCCTGGTTATGTGAGTGACCCGGAAAGGCATCGTATGCGGCCGGAGCAGTAGGAAGGCTCACCTGCATCGCAGAAAAGAGAGACAGGGGCGGATCCAGGGAGGATCCGACTGGACCTTGCAAAGTATCAACAGCTGGACCGATCTGAAACTGCAGAGTGTCAACATCCTGCAGGAAGAGGGGCTGGGAGACAAGGGTCAGCCATCCCCACGTGCATCGAGCAAGAAGAAGGTCAACCTCAGCCGTCAAGGTTTGAGCAGCAAGGGCGAGTTGAGCTATTGCTCTGCATGTGGAATCACGTGGACACTGTATCATACACACTCGGCCGCCAAGCTGTCGCAAATCGACTGGCAACCACACCTGCCGCCATGAACAAGCAACTGGCGTGAGGAGAAGCTGCTCACTCGGCAACCCAGGAAGAACTCCACGAACCCCAGACGCAGAGAAAACCCCAGCATGGAAGCCTAGTGCAGCGGCTAACCGAGCATGAAGGAGTCGCCCATGCAGCCATTCATCGACCAGAAAGGGAATGGGACACGGGTCCAGGACGGGCGCGCCAGGAGGTGTCCCCACAAACACAGCGAGATGCCTGCGACTACGGTCTGTACGTGGTAACAGCAAGTTACCTGTACGGCCGACAGGATAAACGTCACACATCTCATCAGCACTGGGAGTGGGAAGAACAGGACCTGTGCTGAGAACCGGGAGACCTTCATGGAAACCGTGCGCGTGCAGCTGCACGGCTTCGGGGGGCTGCACAAGGCAAGAGGAAAGGACAGCAGCTCCCAGTCGGAGTAGCTCCGTCGGCAACCGAGAGGTAGAGCAGGAGCAAGGTCACATGGAAGTTAGGGCCAGTGGGCCTCCGCGGTCTCGCTTTCACACAGTGACGCACGCCGTGCACCCTGCGGCCGGTAGGTCGGGCAAGGCCCGGTCGGCTCATCATCGCGGCCAGGCTGCCGTTGGCTGTGGAGCCAAGTCCAACCACGTCCCCACATGCAACAAGGACCAGAGCCCACGACAGGGAGGAACCGAACGCAGTGCTGACTGGCGGAACGCAAGGCAGAGCCCAAGTCCAAGGCGAGTCCAGGAAGTCCAGCCAAGAGCTCACTGGTTAGGGCACACAGCATCATGGGGACCGGAGGTCCGACTGCAGCAGCAACCCACCAAGCGGTTGCTGAAAGAACGCAGCTGAGCTGCCACGATCGTCGCCAGGAAAGGCGGGGGCCATATGTCGCAAGGAACCGCCCTGAAACCGCTACAACTCTACACAGAGCAATGTACAGAATCAGACATCGCCCTAGGAAAAGGCTAGCCGCGATCCATGGGAGATGCGAACAAACGCTGCCCCCAAGATCGCGGCTAGCTGGGTCGATGTCAACAGAAACTCCATCACTCAAGAGCTGGGCTGAGGTGCTGTGGCCAAAGGGAACGGACAAGGCATCCTGCACAGAATTTGCGCGTGTGCGTTGGAGGCCATCTCGGTCGCCAGATATCCCTGCCTGACCAGGCCCTGCTCCACCACAAGGGATGGGTGCAACCATTCCTGAAGTGTGCCCGGCGCGTAGCTGAACGGGTCGAGCAGACTGCCAAGCGCCGCATGAATGGCAACCAACAATCCTTGGCGGATGCGAGGTAGTGCCCCTGCACAGCTCCGAAGGTCGCAGAGCAAGGTATGCAGTCGCGCATGAAGAGCTGCCAGCTGTACCAGGGATGGGGCAGCCACCACCTGCACAAGGAACTCCCAAAGCTCGTCTGCCGCAACAACCAGCTGGTCCACGGATTGGTCGTCCTCGTGACGCGGTAGCGCTGCCTCCTGCTCTTCGCACACAGAAAGCTCTCCGACAACATCGTCGCCGCTTTCTGCCACCATCGCCAGGATAGCCATCCAGGCACGGCACCATGCTTCTTGTAGTGCACCCTTGTCCGGGATCAGCTCGGGGTCCTCGTCCATGGCTGTCTGGCGTGGTCGGGAGACTCCTTGGGGAGTGAGGCCTGTTGCATTCCTCACCCACGGCTCGCCGACCTCGGTGTCCGGTGCGGGTCCACGGCGGGGGCTTTTGGAGGGTCGTTCCACAGCTCCACTGACCCTTTTCCTCCAACGAGTGGCCGGTCTGTCCCCCGCAGGAAACAAAACTGACGAGGACGGAGGAGAAGGAGCGCCACCCGCGACAAGGGCCGATCTTGCTCCGTGGTCCTGCACCGAGGGTGGCACCTGCTCTGGGATCCATCCACCAAAACTGACCTCGGAGCCCTCGGCACCTACCAGTAAGGGAGCATGGTTGTTGGCGGGTCCGGATAACAACCCACCAGCCATTCCATCGGCCGCCACACTGCCAAAGGCACGCAGACCTGCCGCAAGACGAAGCACCTCTGCTTCTTGCATGGCATTCCAAGCGGGCCCAAGTGATGCCCTTGCTGCAGCGATCTTGTCGTCCGTGGAGGATGACACAACATCCCTGGCCTGGGTCTCGAGTTCCCCGCACGCTTCGACTACTCCAAGCCGCTAGCGCTTCCTTGAGCGCCTGCTTGGCGCGAGCATCTCCGTCCACACGCTTGGCCAGTTTGGATACCATGTTGGCCCTCCTCTGAGCAAGTTGCTCTGCAGTTGCATCCCCATCGCCAAGCTGGGGGCCACGCCAGAGATCTTGGGTTGCTCGTGCCCCAATAGCTTGAAGGGCCGTGTTCAGCGCCGCAGGGTATCCAAACTCCAACTTGGAAGAGGGGAATTCCTGACCTTTGCCGGAGCCCTTGGCCTGCTGCTTGCTCGTCTTCGGGGCAGTCTTCGGCGCCATAGGAGCGCGACTGCCGTGATGATTGTTCAACAAACTTTGTCCGAAGACCGACCTCGTCCAGATCGAAGACGGGCACGTGCAGCACTCCTTTGTCGGCGGAGTCTGCGGTGCCAAGGCGGACTGCGCGTCCGCGGTATGATGGCCCGTCTCGGAGCCCCACCAGATCAAAGACACACCAAAAAGGGCCAGGACCACAATGGTGCAAAAAGGGCCCCGCTTGGGCATAACCACAGGGAGCCACCCCTGGATAAAAGGCCAGAAAGGGACGTGCCCCAGGCGTCGGCTAATCAAATAGCAGCGACGCAAAACCAAGGGCAAGCCCTGTTCCAGGCCTGAGAAGGCCACCAGAGGGCACCGCTTATTCAAAAGCAGGGTGCCAAAAGGATCCCTTCGGAGGGATGTCCAGTCGCAGCGCACGGGGCGATGCTGGGGCCGGGAATGCCGAAAAGGAGGGCACTACTAAGGTAGAAGCACACCTAATTCGGCTCGAGCCACGACGCCTGAACCCTAAACCCCTAAATCCTAAACCCTGAACCCTTAAGGCCCCCCTATTGCCAGCCTTGGCTGCGCTGGGCGTGACCCGCATCTGCATGTCCAGGAATCGCATCGCCTTTTCAGTTCCGGCTTTAGGGCTTAGGGATGCTACTATTTGCTTAAGAACCCCCCCAAAAAAATTAAAAAAAAAATATATATATATATATATATTCCTTATAGGGATAATATAGGGATTATGATTTTCTATGTTTTGGGGGGGGTTCTTAAGCAAATAGTAGGATGCTTCGGGTTTAGGGGTGTGGGGTTTGGGGCTTAGGGCTTAGGGTTGATGGGTTTAGGGGTTAGGGGGTTGCGGGATTTAGGGGGTTTAGGCTTGAGAGGGAATGCAGCTTCGTTCTGCTTAGGGCTGAGCTTTTTGCGTTCAGGATGCTTGCAGAAAAGATTTTTACGAAGTAAACTCGGGTAAGGGATCACCCACGCCCTAGACCCTGAGAACCAACTTACCTGAAACCACGGGAACCCGTAAAACAACCCTTAATACCCCAAACCCCGGACCCCAAAATTCTAAACCCATTTAATATCCCTAAATACACGGTTATCCTATCTGTAAACACGGCAAGCCGGATGTGGTGCAGGGCTTAGGTTTTAGTGTTTAGGGTAAACCCTAAACCCGAAACCCTGCTTCGAGGATCATGGGATTTGGTAAGTATGGTTGTAGGTACCTCAGTAGGATCATAAGCAACTATAAGTATAGTCATTTAATCATAACCAGAATTACAAAGCCCCGTTATCCTTCAAGTAAACCGCCCTGAGGCTGCGGCGGATTTTACCGATGCTTGGACCTCCGCAGCAGCCTGTTCCGCAGCCTGCGTTTCACGATGTCGCTTTCAGAGGTCATTGTGTTGGACTAAGCTAAAGCCTAAACCTAAACCCTACACCCTGAAATACACTACAAATCCTACACCCTAAACCCTCAACAACAAAGCAAGGTTGAAAAAACCTAAACCATTGGCAAACTATTGCCGCCTACGCGCAATTCCACGGGAGACCCGGAACCCCATTTAGAGTTTGGGGTTTAAGGTTTCGGGTTTGGGTTTTGGGTTGAGGCTTTAGGAAAACTTTCGGGTTTAAGGTTTAGGGTTCGGAGTTTAAGGTTTGGGGTTTGAGGCATGCTTTAGATTACATGATTCAGCGGTTCGAGGCTGAGGGAGTCGATGTTACATTCTTTTACCTGTTCGAGTGTCCCACGCCCCAAATCTGAGGCCCGGAATCCCTCCACCCAAGGCACCCAAATACGCAAACGAAGTGCCCTAAACCCTAAACCCTAAACCCTACACCCTAAACCCTAAACCCTAAACCCAAAACCAGCTGCAAGCTAGAGCAGGGCCACCCCAAAACACCCAAAACACGGACCCGAAGCACCACACAAGCTGAACCTGCGCCCAAACACCTTCCAAGAACCCACACTTGGAGGGGCAAGGAACTTAGTAAGTAGGTTATAAGTAGGGTTATAATTGGGGTAGCTCCATTTAGGGTACTTATAACTGTACTTATAACCTACTTACCAAGTCCCCTGCCCTTCCAAGCAACCCCAAGGTGCTTTCAAGAACCCATGTGAGAACCTATTCAGGAACCCTTACAAAAGCTCTTACAGAATCCTTTCAAGAAGCCCTAAACCCTAAACCCTAAACCCTAAACCCTTAAAACCTAAACCCCCAAAGCCTATACCCCTGAACGCTAAAACCTAAACCCCTTAAGCTCCCAATCCTAAGCCCAACCGGTTTAGGGTTTAGGGTTTAGGGTTTAGGGTTTAGGTTTAAGAACCCTAAACCCTAAAGCGCCTACATTCACAGATTCCTAGGTTTCCATGGCAGCGAGCCTTGAGCGTCTTCTGCGCATGATCCTTGCTGTCCTTCGGAAGATCACTCTACTCAACTGAGCCCGAATGGCCCTGAATAGTGGGTATTTGGGGTATGTTAGAAGGTAGTTGGGGGGTCTAGGTATATTCGGAATTACTAATTAGTATGACTTGGGGAAGTATCCCCCACAACTTACCTTTGGTTACTAGGGAATGGAAGAATGGTAGTAATAGTAGTTATAAAGTTATACTTGTGCCCCATTTCTCCGTTCCCTACTAACCAAAGGTAAGTCTACGAGCCCGGTCACCCCCAAAAACTGGGGTTTAGGGTTTAGGTTTGGGGCTAAAACGGTTACCGGGACATGGTTAGTAGACTAGACACCAAGTACTCGGAGGAACATGGGATTTAGTAAGTATGGTTATAGGTACCTAGCTAGTTACGGCTATAAGCAGTTGTAAGTACAGTTACCCTACTAATAAACCTAGTTACTCAGTCCAATGATCCTGAAGTAATCCCAATACTGAACCTACTACAAGCTCCATATAGGGGTTTCAGGCAACACATATATCCCATCATGCAGTATCGAGACCTCTAAACCTTGCCTATGGAAGCCCTATAACCTCTTTTGCCGAACCCTTCAAGAAATCGTGCCTTTGCCCTGCACCCTACACCCAAGACCCTAAACCCTATACTATACCTTACATCATCCTAAACCTTAACACATAGACCCTAAAACTTATATACCCTACGCCCCATGCCCTAAGCCCTAAAAAACGAGGCTTGAGTCATGCTTGAGGCTTGAAGCTTTGAACTGAAGAATAAGAATAGACAAAACATGAGGCTTTGGGTTTAGGTTGTAGGTGTAAGCGGTTGAGGATTTAGAGTGTAGAGTTGAAGGTTTAGGCAGCGTTCAGGGTTCAGGCTTTAGGGTAGAGGCTGTAGGGTTTACGGTTTGTCCGGTTCAGGGAGCTTTCGGATTCCGAAGCCAGAACCTAGGTTCCTGAGTGGCCCCTTAATAATAAGGGCAACCTTTTTTCTGCTGCTGGGTTTTAACAAGGGTACCCCTTTTCAGAAAAGGCACAAGGGTTCGACCAAGGAACCACAACCCTTCTCGGGCCTCAACCCGGAACGCTCCCCAAAATCACCTTGAACCTCACAAACCCTCACGGGTCAAACTCCTGTCAAGACTAAACCCCATGCATGCCGTAACCGATTTCAGCCCCACAACACCTCTCCGATTCTAAGCAGAAGTCCGGACCGAACCCTGGACTCTATGCAAGACCTGAATACACGTAACATACAACATGTACAAAAACTGGATGATACTGCTGATGGACAAAATCCTGCATTACCCATTATAAGGAATATACCATGTTTCCCATAGTTTAGAGTCCTTAGGGTCATGCAGGATTTTGTCCATCAGCCGTATGACTTTGTATCAAATTTCGTACTATTCAAAACTCCTTTAGACAGATCTGATATCGATACATACATATGGGAGTGTCCGAAAACAGGGGCACCGTATTTTGGGGTCCTTATAATAAGGATCCTAATATTTTGGGTACTATATTAGGGTCTCTTATTCTCAGAAACTACCATATTATACTTGGATGATTGAGGTTCAGGGCTTGTTGTTGAGACAAATCAATATGCAAACAAGTAGACATACATGAATGCACATCTATATCTATATCTATATATATATATGTTCTCTATGTATATATATATATATATATATTTCTAGATATTTGTATAGTCATGTAGCTATATACGGTCGCTTTTCGGGCCTCGCCCTCCGGAGCGGGCGAATCGATAGCTGCTGAAAGCTCGCTCAGCTTTTGGAACTTCTCCTCTTGTCTCCAAACAGGGCGGTTGTCAAATTATTGTCCACTTTGGGGTCCTTAATATAATACGGCAATGCGGCACCTAATACTTAGGGTCCCAAAAAGAGCCAAAAAAGTTCAAGGTTCAGGGATTTGGAGTTTAGGGTTTCTGATGTAGGATGCAGGGTTTGGGGTTTACGTCGAACTCAGACGCCTGGCAGGATCCGAAAAGGAGATTCGTTAAGGGGGGTATAAAGTATCATGTGGTAGTATCAGGTGCCAACTTAGGGGTCTAAAATACTTTTTGGATTCTCTGGGGGTCTGGAGGTAGGCTAGGGGTTGGGCGTTGGGGTTCAGGGTTGCGGGTTCAGGGTGTCGGGTTCAGGGTTTGGGGTGGGGCTTCAGGGCAACTAATGCCGGGATTCAGGGCCGAGAGTCTGCGGATGTATTGGGTCGTACTTGGAAGGGCAGGGGACTTAGTAAGTAGGTTATAAGTAGAGTTATAAGTACCCTAAATGGAGTTACCCCAATTATAACCCTACTTATAACCTACTTACTAAGTCCCCTGCCCCTCCAAGTATTCAGGTCTTATTCGACTCATTTCGACTCCAACAGGGCTTTAGACAGGCATTTTCAGGGCTTTATCCCTAAACCCTGAACCCTCCCGGACGCTCAACCCTGAACCCTAGACTTCCTAGACCCTAAACCCTCAAACCCTAAACCCGAAAGGTGCTATGAGCGTCTGTTAAAGGCTCCATGACATGAATGTTTTACAGGGAGCATCTCACGGTTCTAGGCTCGGACTGTATGGGGTTCGGCTTACTGGGAGGATCATGGGACTTAGTGACTTAGCAAGTAAGGTTATAAGTACCTCAATTGAGGTTAGATGTAGTTATATGTGTCGTTACCCTGATGACCCTCCCTTATAGAACCCTTCTGCGTCCGTACAACACTCCAAACCCTAAAACCCTGAACTCCAGATCATCAAACCTAAACCCTAGACCCTAGAACCCTAAACCCAAAAAACAACCTCGGGTGCCGAAAACTAAGAGGTTGTAGGCGTTGCAGCCTGTGAGTCGAATTACCGCCTACTTCTAGGGTTTAGGGTTTAGGGTTTAGGGGTTTAGGGGTTTAGGGGTTTAGGGTTTAGGGTTTAGGGTTTAGGGTTTAGGGTTTAGGTGCTAAGCTGTCAGATTGCTACGAAACTATACTAGGAAACCCAGTAACCTGAGACTAAAAAGGCCTCTCTGTTTGGTATTGGGTAACTTTATAAGGAACCTAGGACTACAAAAAGGGAATAAGGGTACTGCTGGGCATCCTAGATAAGAACAGCTGGCATGCAGTCTGGCCAAATGCGGCTACAGAGACATGACCTTTTCGGGCTATGGCTCATTTGGTTTGGCAATCAAGTGCGCCGGTCCCGACGGGGT